TTGTATTTGTGCCCATTCCAAAGAAAGATGACCTAATGGAATGTGGAAATCTTCTAACAATATCATTAATATCACAAGCAAGTAAAATTTTACTGAAGAAAATTTTTTAATTGTTGCAGCAAAACACCCACAGGAACCTGCCAAAAATTTAAAACAGATTCAGAAGAAAACAGGAAACTAGGGATATCACTGCTTACATCAGATGGAGCTTGGCAGAAAGCAGAGAATGCCAGAAAGAGTTTTACTGACTATGCAAAGCATTTAACTTTGTGAACAACAACAAACTATGGAAAACATTGAGAAGAATGGGTATTCCAGAACATTTCATTGTGTACATGAGGAACCTGTACATAGAACAAGAAACAAATCAAGGGGATACTGAATGGTTTAACATCAAGAAAGGTATACACTAAGGCTGTATCCTTTCACCATACTTATTGTATCTGTATGCAAATAAACAGAGCTGCTGGGTTATATCAAGAATACTGTGGCATCAGGAGTGGAGGAAGATATGCAGATGATACAATCTTGTTTGTTGGAAGCGACAAGGACTTAAAATACTTATCGATGCAGTTCGAAGACTACAGCTTTCAGTATGGATTGCACCTTGATATAAAGAAAACAAAAATCCTCACAACTGGACCAAAAAATAACATCATGATAAATGGAGAAACGCTGTCAAAGGCTTCATTTAGCTTCTTGTATCCACTATCAATGCTCATGGAAGCAGCAGTAAATAAATCAAATGACTTACTGCATTATACAAATCTTCGGCAAAAGACCTCTTTAAAGTGTCAAAAGCAAAGATGTCACTTGGTGAACTAATCAGAAAATTAGGAGGTCTGGTGGTACAGTGGTTAAGTGCTTAGCTGATAATTGAAAGGTCATCTGTTCAAACCCAGCAGTCTCTCTGCAAGAGAAAGATGTGGCCGTCTGCTTCTGTTAAGACTGATAGCCTTGAAAACCCTGTGGGGCAGTTCTACTCTGTCTATGGGGTCACTAGGAGTCAGAATTGATTGGATAAAAATTAAGATTGTTGACTGGGTGGGGGCGCAGACAGGAATCAGAAAATACCATTAGTTCTACCTAAATATACCTTCAGAATGTATACAGAAATCCAACTATTTCTTAGCACCTGCACTATTACCAGAATGATATAAATGTGCTTGCCTGCAAATCCATAGGAACCAGATTCAAGTCCACACAGAGGCTCCTGAAAAGAAAGGCCTGACAATTTACTTCTATAAAATCAACTACTGAAGACCCAAGATAGTACAGTTCCTCTCTGACACATATAGTCACTAGAAGTCAAGATTAACCGGACAGCACCCTCATACAGATCAGTATTACTTCATACATAAACTACACCCAAACCAATTACCATTGAGTTCATTCAGACTGGGCTTCCAATACTATAAGCTTTACAGAAGCAGATGGCCACATCTTTCACCCATGGAACAGCTGGGGGATTCAAACTGCCCAACTTTTAGTTAGTAGTCTAGCATTTAATGACTCTTCTCCTCAAACATGAAACACCATGACTATTTTCAATACAACAGCCTAAGTAGATCATATAAAGATGTAAATTAACTTTTTTTCACTTCCCTGTTCAGAACTATCCAATAGCTTACCATCTCTCTAAGAGTACACACTTACGTCTGTATAAAAGGCCCTTTTCTGAGCTTAACCCAATCTCCCCTCACTTTCTGTGGTAGAGTTATGCTGGCTTCCTGGCTGCTCTTTCAACATGCCAGCAGGCTCCCACCACAGAGTCTTTGCACTTTCTGTTCCATGTGTCTGGAACACACTTGCCCTAGAAAATGACATGACTCATTTTCTCTCTTCCTTCAGATTTTCTGAAATGCTGCCTTCTTAGAGAAGTCTTCCCTGGCAATCCTACCACTAACCACCCAAAACACTTTTCATCTTCCTTTCCCTGCTCTATTTTTCTCAATAGTATCAACTGTCTGCCACTGCACATGTGTATTATGCTGTTTCATGTGTGTGTTTATACCCATTAGAGTATAGCCTCCACCAGGCTAAAGACTTCTGACTATTTTATTGACTGTTGTATCCACGGAAGCCATAGTGTGTCTATTTATTGTCTGGCACACAATTAATATTTGATAAATGAATGAATTTCAAACTAATAAGCATTACCAAAGGAATAGGAAATATAGCTCCAAGAACCATCTACTCCACATGTGAGTTACAAAAGTTTACTGGGAAAAGCAACATCTACATGACTTAATCAGACGCTAGCCAACCAAACAAAGTAATAATAATCAGATACTATCCAAGCAAATAAAGTAAAAGCAAAAACAAGTAGAATATAGGGATCAGCATATGCAAAAGCTCAGAAATTACCAAAACAAAAAATAAAAACCCTTGGCACACTGTAAAAGCAGAACTTCAATAGCCTAGATCCCAGAGAATAGGAGAGCACTGAGGAGAAAAAAAGCAACCCTGAACATACATACCATATGCAAGCCACCATCAAGAACATGCTAATGAGTTGGGACCTTTTTCTAAGTTCAGTTGGAAGTCTTTAACTAGCATGAGTTTTGACCAGGAAAACGGCATTATCAAGGCCTGATCATTTTTTTTTTTTTAAGTTTTAAATAGATATAAAAGGAGGAGGAGAGAGAAAAGGAGGCCTTACACTGAAGAAAACGGGGACAGTTAAAGGAATTTCTGGGTTACTTAATCTTTGTAATAACCTCAGGCATGATCTATACATATGGACGGTAATTTTATCTGAAGTACTTTAGATACAAAAAATCCTCTGAAGATGTGGTAACTGACCTGGCATTTGAAAGATACTTAAAGAAAGCTGCTAGCCAGTCAAAGAAGACTGTGGCAGGCAGAGAGCCTGTAAAAAGACTCTGAACTAGATTCTTTCTGTTCAAAGAAGGGAAAAAAGGCCAGAGGAGCCAAAGTCTAGTGGACTGGGGGGAAAAGAAAACGCAATGACATCTGACACGTAGGCAGAACAACATCAGGCACAAAATACAGACTTGACCTGTGATTGGAAAAGGGGCTTGTCTTCCACTTAATCAAGTAAGAAAGAGAATAGATGTGCAAATACAACTTTGGGGGCAAGACAAAGACATGCATCTGAAGTTAAAGGTAAAGAGAATAAGAGGCATGGAATATTTGAGTATGGAAAACCAAACTCAACTGAATCCCACTCATAACGACTCATAGGGTTTCCAAGGCAGTAAATCGTTATTGGAGCAGAAAGCCTCATCTTTCTCCCACAGAGTGGCTGACGCCTTTGAACTTGTAGTTCATAGTCCAATATACAGAAGAGGGTACAAAAGGATGCTCTCAAAGTGTAGGAAAATGACTCAACTTCAAAATACATATAGCAGGGATTGCCAACTATTGCTCAATGCTCATTTGGGTATTGTTTTGAGAAGGAAGTCAACAATTATTATTGGAGTCCTTTCCTGGGTTATAGTTGAGCACTTGGAGTCCATCATATTATGAACACAGTTTAGAATATTTTAAAAACATTTCTTAAACTTGCTCTTAATAAGTTCAACTAATATCTCTCTTCTTGCTCTTAAGATCTTTTAACAATTAACATACACACACATCAAGACAAGACAGATAAAGAGATAGACGGCCAGAGAGAGATAAAACAAAGAGATAAATGGATATGCCTGGAACACAGGAAAGATAACAGGCCTACCAACCAAGAGACAGGGAATAGGAGAGCAGAATGGAGGTGGGGTGGGGTGAGCAGCTGATAAAAACGGTCAGAGTAAATGTGAGTTTGTTGATCTGCTAGTGGCAGTACTGTGGATGCTTTTATGTTTTCTTATCTTCATTGTTTAATAAGAATTATTACTTGTTTAAAATATAATAATATAAAACTGAGATTGACTTCACAAGAAATTTGAATTATTTCTTTTTTAGACTGTTACTTTCTCTATTAATTTTTTAATGAGCTTTCAAACACAAAAGTTCTCTTACACTTGTAAAAAAAAAACAAGACCACAAATAATGTACATTCAGTCCGCAGTACCCACAGGAGGCTGGTTACAAGCTCTCCATCCATAGCAAAATCCTTTCTAGAAATGGCGCAGTATTTGCGTATAAGCACACATCTTCCCTTACACTTTAATCATCTCTGCTGCTGCTGAGTGCCGTGGAGTTGATTCCGACTCATAACGACCCCGTACACGGTTTCTGAGGCTGTAAATCTTTACGGGAGCAGAACGCCTCACCTTTCTCCAGCAGAACAGATGGTAGTTTTGAACTGCTAACCTTGCGGTCCGCAGCCCGATTCATAACCACTACGCTACCAGAGCTCCTTTAATCATCTCTAGATTATTTAATTATTAATACTTAACTGCTAATGCAATATAAATAATATGTAGTTAACATTTTACGGTCCCTGTTAGCCATGGAAGGATTGCTTTGACCACGTATATGCTTTTCAGGAGTCTTTTATTTTTCCTGAATTTTTTTTATCAGCAGTTGGTTGAGGTTGTTGAATCCATGGATGGGGTATCGGTGGATATAAGGGCTGACGATATACATGTTACAATTAAATTTCTCATTAACCCAATAGTTCAGCACAGTACACACACACATAAATCGATACTAACTGACCAGTAACTCTTTATGAGCAGACTAAGGAGTCCTGGTGTAGTGCAGCGGGTTAATGCTCTGGACTGCAAAGTCAGTTTAAACCACAAGGTTGGTGGTTCAAGCTCACCAGCTGCTCCTCAGAAACCCTATGGTCATTATTGGTTAGAACTGACTCAGCAGCACTTAACAACAACCATTGAAAACCAATTGGCAATATAGTTACTACTTTTCAGTGTTAATATAAACTTTCTCACAATTAAGCAATGATAATTCAAGTCACATTCCAATTTAGAAGTTTTATGACAACTTTTCTACAAAAGACATGTTCAATCGTCAATTGCTACCACAAATATTTGTTACTTTCCCTTAATTGAGTTTTATTGCCAACCTTTCCATACCTCTGAAGAGCTTTCATTGTTGACATCTGTGTTTACAGGCGTTCCTGATGAATCCAAATCAGGACCTTGAGAGCCAACCCTCCCAGGAGTCTGAAACACAAACAGAAGGGGAGGAAAGTCAAAAAAGGGCCATTACTGATATTCATAAAATATTCCATAACCAAGTGAACACTGAGTGGCTACTAATTTGCTACCCCTGCTAGAGAGTAAGATCCCCTAAGAACTTGATTGAACCTCAGCATAGTGATCCTGCTTGGTCACCTTAGACCAGGTGGTGGGCTGGCAACGTCTTGCATATGGGGTCCCCAGCCGATCTCCTCCCTCCCTGCCTTCCTCGGATGGCGGCTGTTTATGCTGGACGTGTGGCCAGAGACGGGTAAGGATCACGTGGAACCTCGGCAACTTAAGACAGAGCCATTGCCATGCTGCAATGAGTTTCAATGACTGGTAAGACTGAGGAATTCACACTGACCGCCTAAGACAGGCAGCGTCCCTTAAACAAACAATAAATAAGGAGGATTCGGATGCAGACTGTGCAGACCCGGTCAGGAGGCCAAGCCCCTGTGGGCCCAAGCGTTGTTGACCGTCCAAACCATAGGCTCTGAGGATCAGACTTTAGCTACCTAGTAGACATAGCAAACTGTCCCTCATCAGATTATTCAGTAATGCTTGTTAGTAATCTCATACATGAGCCCTGGATATCCACAGACAAATGTAAAAACCTTCCCTAAAAGCCGAGACTGTAAATTCCAAAAAGGCAAGTCCCCTGCCATCCAAAAAAAAAAAAAAAAACAAGCTAAAGAGGATAGAGAGAAACACTGTAAACGGATGATATATGGAGGGGATAATAATCAATGTAATGAAACAAGCTATATGAATGGTTGAATGTGAAGCTGATGATGTGCCCTGTAAACTTTCACTCAATCCAAAATAAAAACATTTAATTAAAAAAAAAAAAAAATCCATAACCAAAACAAGACCAGGAGTTAACCTTACACACGGAGTCCTGGTATGGCACTGTAGAGTAAGCAAAGGACTGCTAACTGCAAGGTTGGCAGCTCAAACCCACCAGCAGCTCCTCGGAAACCCTAAAACAGGATGGCTATGAGTCTTAACTGACATGACAGCACTTAGAAACACCACCTTCCATAGAAGGAAAGTAAAGGTCTGTACAACAATAATAAAGAGCACTAGTAGTTACGAGTCCTGGTGGGGCGCTAGGACTAATGCGTCAGACTGTAAAGCCATTTGAACTGCAAGGTCAGTGGTTCAAGCTCACCAGCTGCTCCTTGGAAACCCTATACAGGGTCACTATGGGTCAGAACCGACCCAACGGCATTTAACAACTACAACGACTAGTAGTTATCCTTTCTTGAAGACTGACTGTAGCTAACACTGTATCAAGATCACTATGCATTCTCTCATTGGTAGTTTTTTTACAAATATAAGTTTACATTTGTATACAGTGAGTTACAGTCCTCAACCAACTTTCACAAAACATTTCATTTAATCACCATAGTATCTCTAAGAGAGGCAGAATAAAAGTTATTTCTACTTATAGATGAGGAAACAGATTCAAAGGGAATAAGTGATTTGCCCAAGACCCTGGTAGTGGTTATGTGCCGTGGAGTCAGTTCTGATTCATAGCGACCCTGTACAGGGTTTCCAAGGCTGTAAATCTTTACGGGAGCAGAAAGCCTCATTTTTCTCCTGCAGAACAGCTGGTAGTTTCAAACTGCTGACCTTATGGTTCGCAGCCTAATTAGTAACCACCACGCTACCAGAGCGCCTCTTAACTGTTAACAAAAACCAGAAAACAGCAGAGCCAAAATGCTTATCTTCGACAATTTCTCTTGCATCGCTACCTCTACTACACAATCTAAACTGCAATGGTTTAAGGGGTCGTCATGGCTAAATTACCTAAGAACTTTTTATTCTGTTCTTAAACCACAAAATTCCATTACTTCCAAGAGAAAGCCAATTCTAGTACAAACGAACAAGAAGAAACAATAAAAATTCTAACTTTTCTACTTATAAAAGTTTTATTTTGCAAAAAACAATGATAAAAATAATTCCTGCTAAAATTTTAAAACAAAAGGGAGATCTCTTTAAAATATGCTTTTACAGAGAAATCATTACTTAGATTTAGATATTTTTACATTAACTAAAAAGCACTTAAGTGGTCCACATCTATCAGCCACTCAGTGGAAGAAAGACGAAGCTGTCTGCTCCCAGATTTATAGGATTGGAAACCCTATATAGGTCTCTCCCAGTCAGAACGGACTCAATGGCAGTGAGTTTGGGTTTTTAAAGAAAATAATACAATCATTTTGTTGAACTTTTTTTTTTTTTTTTCAAAGTAGCTATTCATTCCTCATCCATGGAGCACCTAGCATTGTTCTAAGACCTGGATATAAAATGAGAGCATATCCGGTATGAAGACAGTGTGAGACAAACAAGGACCATGCCTTCAAGTAGTCTGAGGAAACTAATGCATAGAAAAACTGGTAGGAAACAACTTCAAAACCATTAAACGCTTTAGTCAAAGTGTACAATAAAGAGGTAACCTTGCTCTTTGCTCCAGCTCCTGGGAGGTATAGGAACTCTTAGAATGTCCTGTCTAATAAGCCTATCTTTGGATACCTAGGGGCCTTGGGCCACATCAGATGGTCTATGCTAAGTAACCATGTAGTTTATCACCATCTGGAGAGAGTAGAGACTAAGATTAGTTATGCAGTGGTCAACCATGGCTACATGACCCAGCGGCTATGAAAATTCTAGATACCAAGGCTCAGAAGAGTTTCCCTGGCTTGCTTCACATTATCACTGGGAGAAGCAAGCAGCATCTGTACAGCTCCACACCTGGAACTCTCACTGATCTTGCCCTCTGCACCTCTTTCCCTTGGCTGATTTTACTCTATATCCTTTCACTGTAACACATTGTAACCACGAGTATAAAGACTCGAAGTGATTGTCATTCTAACTAGACGCAAAAATGTATAAAAGTAGACAGCAAAGAAATAAGAATGCTATGTTTAAAGAAAAATAAATGAGTCTGACAAAATATTAGCTTCCTCTGCTTCAATCATAAATAATAGCAGATATTTAAGAAATTAAACATAGATTGTTGTTGTGAAGTGCCATCGAGTTAGTTCTGACCCATAGCGACCCCTCTATAGGGTTTCCAAGGAGGAACTGGTGAGCTTGAACCGCTGGACTTGCAGTTCAAATGGCTTTGAAATCTGGCACATTAACCCACAGAGCCACACCAGGACTCCTAAATACAGGTAGTCCCTGGATTATGAATGAATTTGTACATTAAGTCACAACAGTTAGATACCATTAATATCTAATGGCAATTAGTCAAATGTTTGTTAGTATACAATACACCTTTCTATTAATTAAAAAAAAAAATTAAAGAGACACTTTCAGATACACAAAAACACCTTTTAAAAAGTAATAATACTATTTTATGGAGAGGGAAAAAAAAAAAAAAAAGACATCAATTTTATGAAAAACATTCCAGGTGTTCTCTAAGAGGTCTCATGTTTGACCTCTTCTCTTGATACATGTTCTCTACATAATTCCATTTGCTCCCTTAATTTTGATTATCACTAACTTGAAAATAAAACTCTACATCTAGTCCTGACATTTGTTAAACTACAATTTCATATTTCCCTTTCCATTAAATATTTCTACCTGAATACCTTAAAAGCACTACAAAATAAGCTGTTCAAAACCAAATCATTACCTTTTCTCACACACTTGTCACCTCTGTGTATTCCCATCTCAGATTGTTGTTGTTGTTAAGTGCTGTTCAGTTGGCTCCAACTCATAGCAACACTGTATAGGAGTGGCTGGTGAGAAGGAACCACCGACCCTGCAGTTCAAACCAGCCTTGCAGTCCAGCGCATTAACCTACATCGCTAAGATAGGACTACATGGGCACATGATGCTTCTGTGATAATCTCAGATTACAGAACCGTTATATCCCCATCTTGCCTAACCTTCATATCCAACCACCAATTTAATTTCATTACCGATAAAAATTTTCAATCTGTCGTCCTTTCTTCTTCCCCTTGAGCATGGCCTTAATTCAAGTTGCCATGATCTCTCCCCTAGACTATAAAATACAGCATTAACTCAGCACTCTAAACTTTACACCTATTATTTCCGGTTGCTTTTTTGTTGGTAAATGCCATCAGATGGGTTCTACCACACAGTGACCCTGTGTACAACAGAAGAAAACACTGCTCAGTCTTGCTCCATCCTCACAATAGTTGCTATTTTGGAGCCCACTCTGCTAATCCATCTCATTGAGGGTCTTCCACTTTTTCACTTTCATCTCTACTCTACCAAGTAGGATAGATTTTTTTTCCAGCCAGTACCCAGTAGATTTCCCAGGGCAGTCAATTCATCATATACACATCAAACCTGTACCATCTCAGGGGAAGTTTTTGCTTTCCCATCAATCCTCCTAGCTTAGTTAACACAAGGGAGCTTCAAAAAACTTGTGGAAAAATACCTTTTTTTTTTTCATGGAATTTTTCCACCAACTTTTTGAAAGTCTCTCATATATTCTCATTTATCCCAAACCTCCGTCATAATATAGTTAAATGTTAAGTTGGTGATATAACCACACAGAGAAAATAATTATTTCAAGCGATTTACAAACACAATGTTCTGACTATACATCCTTAGTGGTACAGAGCTTAAATTTAAGAACTATTTTTAAAATAATAAACTATTCAGTAACCATACTGTTAATTTTAGTAAAGTAGGTATTTTAGTTAAAAAGTATTTTTTATATTAATGCTAAAAACCACTATTCAGTGGTGGTGGTTGTGGTGTTGTTAAGTACCATCAAGTTGGTTCTGACTCACAGTCAGTTCCCACTCAAAGCTGTTATGAACTGCAGCCCATTGTTTATCTTACAGTGCTATGCCAAGCCTCCAAATACTCAGTACAAGATCAAACAGGATATCAATACAAAATTAAAGCAAAACCATTTTATGATCTTAGAATTTTGTTTTATTCTGTTACCTTTTAAAAATGCATATATCCTAGTTCGAATAGGGTCATCATAAGCC